TGTTGTGTATTTTGCTTATGCTGACAGATATAAGTAATATGTAGCAGCAGTCAGAAGTAGAATGCCTCCCCGTCGAAGATCGATATAAAGTGAACAGGGAGAGAAACATGGAGGAATTGGGAGAATCATGAAATACGAGAAGGACAACTGATGGAAGATGTGAATGTATTTAGTGTTTTTCATATTTTATGAAAGCACTGTTTTAGCACACCTGAATTCTCTCTTTTTACAGTACATGTGTAAATCTACCTAACTAGCTAAGCGAACTACTCACTCCCGTTTTCGAACAACGAATAGGAGAGTTTCGCCAAAAGGTAGGCTTCCATTCGAGAACAATTGTATTTTCTCTACGAATGTCTTCGCCAGCATGTCCTACCAACAAGTGTAAGATAGAGACCTCCAATCAACTGCTCATTGGGATGGAGAATAGCTGAGCAAAGTGGAAGAAAAACGATACACGTAATCATAACAGATGCACATTATAGAGCTACTCAGTATTATTGCTTGAAAACAGCAAGTCTTATTCATGTTCACGTGGGTAGTACATGTACAAAATTTCATTTGAAATATTATAGTTATGTGTTTTATACGTTACATCTTTATGTCACTATCTTTTATTTATTTTAACAAATAAATATTGGTACAAGGAGGCACCAAATACATATGCACCACACAAATCTCATTTGATATGTGTGGGGGTTATGATACTGCCCGGCTGCTCAAACCGAAGCAGCTGGGTTTTCTTAGGGGGGTATACCCGGAGCCTTCGACCTGAAAGTCTGACTCACAAGGCAGTGGAGAGACGTAAGGAGATGCAGTCCCATGGTAGCTGGTGACCAACGATTGGTTCATACGCCATTTGTTTCTTCAGGATTCTGGAGCCCATGTGCACCATTGGTTTGGAATCAGGGTTTTCCAACTCCCCTAGCTGAACTCTCCATGTCCACCAACCCGGTAAAAGCGCCGGACATTCGCTTTTCGTCCTCTCAGTTTCGTAAACAACACCCCCGCCACGAGAAGGCAGTGAGTAGGACTTCCCTGGCGGAGGCTATATACGCATGGTCATGTGAGAGCATTTCGAGAGGGAGAGTGGACTCTCCCCACTCTCGGCCGTACCAGAGCATTTGGGGGCGTGTCACTATCTAGTTGACTATAGTTCCCAAATCCCTTTCTGATACCATCGTGATAGCCTATATTATCAACACTGATGTTAATACTAAAAAAGTGGATTATTTTACCAATTACCTACATAAAATCTATCGAATAAACAGATATTCCTCTTTCAAATTACTTTTCTCTTTTCTTTAGTGCACAATTTTTTAATTCTAATCATTCAGCTGCTAAAGCAATCAGTTCAACTAAAATACAAGATCATATTTGGAACTTACATCAACAATTATTCACTGATTTGATAACATCTTTAATAGATAGTTTAATATTTAATAATGAATTTGTACAAATTATACAAAATATTGTTATTCCATCTGAGAATATCATTCATGCATCATCATCATCATCATTGAACAACAATGAAATCATCGTTGATGATGATGACGATGATGATCCAGTCCCATTATGGATACAAATTAAATCAGATAATTGTTATAAACCTAACGAATTATCAATTAATTATATAAATGACATAAACAAAACAACAAATCACTTAAATCATTGGATACCTGAAATAGTTCAAGAGAAAACTAATAGACAAGATATGAAAAGTATAAATAAAGAAACTGCTGACAGTATGTGCATACAGTAAGTTGTATATTTATTCTTCCCCCTGCCTAAAATGGAAGTAAGCGTCAGTAAACACGATCGATTTCCCGTAACGATTAAACATCAAACAATCTGTGCATATCATGTCTATTGTAAAAATAAGATAAGCCTAAGTATTACCAGATTTGTCTGTATATATTTGTGGAAGTTGCTAAGTTTCATTAAAATTATGAACCAATCAATGTTAGACCACATTTGGACAGCCACCTCTTTGTCGTAGAGATTTTTTATGGGGGACCTACAGAGCAAGCTGGGTAACTAGAAGTCTTCTTGACCTGAGAACTTGAACGCAGTTGCCGAGAGACAAATGCTTGTAGCCAGTTACACAACATTTCTGTGAATCTATGTTGAACTAGCTTCTCAATTTCCAGAATTCACTTCCTCTAAGATGAAGAGTACTGTCCTTAGTACGTGTCATTCCCAACCTCTTTTCCGGTCTTTGGAAATGTAATGTGGTTGGAGATGTTAATTGTCCGTAGGAGGCTTTATGCTGACATGACATTCCACTTCGAGTACAACATAGCCCTGACCTTACATTTGATGCCTTTAGTCTTAATACTCTCTAGCCAACCTATATAGTGTGATGCGACTTCGATGAACTGATTTAACTCGACTGGATCATCACGATAAACAAGCCTAACCAGTGTTAAGATGACGTCTACAGTCGGAATATAATTTACTTAACATCCAATCACTTATTATAAACTAACAGCTTGTGAATAGTAATCATTTCTTCCTAGCTCAGTATTTATCAGCCTACATTAGATTAAATGTGAGATGAATGTCACACCACTGAGTCGAAATTCAGTGGTTCCATGTATTTTTTTTGTGAATGAACTTGTAGTTAGATGTTAAAGTCTCAAGCCACCAATTCAATGTTCCCTGATTTTAAATGATTTCCCAACTAATTTAAAAAAGGTACTTACATGTTCTACAGAAGCTTCACAACCTTTTTCTCTCGCTCCCCTCCCTACCAATAAAATAATTAATATTTTTTTTAAATCATGTTCTAATCATTTTAGGAATCCGGCTATTCAATGGTTAATTGAAGATGCTTTAGCTGGTATGTTAAGTAATATTCTGGATGAAGTAAATGAAAAAGAATTCGAAATAACTACTAGACCAAGAATAATCGCACTACCACCGATGACAATACTACAGAATAAAATGGAAGATAAATAAATGAAATACACTATGAATTATAGTAGTCTTGAAGTTTTATATATAAAAAGTGAAACGAAACATCATTGAGCCCGTACTATACACAGACTAATGGTCATGTATAATTATTGATTCTTTTTCTTTTAAAAAAAAATATGCACATTTCACATTGCAAAACGATAGACAATACAATAGATAAGAGTAAGTAACTACAGAAACCCTTGACATTACTGTTTGTTACTCTTAATAAAAAACCAGAACAGTTCATGGATTTATTACATAAACCGGTCAGAAAAGTAAAAGTGGATTAGATTGTACAAAATTTGTTAGTTCCAAAATACTCTAAAATTGACGTACGGTACATTGTATAACCCTTTTTTAGCTACTATCATTACTGGTAATGAAAACAAATACTTTTTAGTAATTCTACCCTTCACTTTACTGTCCACATTCTAAGAGAAATAAGTAAAATGAATATGAAGTTAATCTGAAAAATCTGATATATTCATTCAGTCAGTCAGTAACAACGTAGAACTCCGTACGTACGTATATCAGTTCAAGTTGCCACACCACATTAGCACAGAGATGCAGTTGTCGATTCAAATCCAGTAGTGGAGGGGGGGTTAGAGTATAAGCAGTAGTCGGAAACATTAGGGTTTGAAGATGTTATTTAAAGAGTATAATTCAGATAAATAAATTTGGCAAGAGAAGAAAGACAAGGAGGATTCAGATTAGAATTTGGGAGAACACAAAGAGTTGATGCACCTACGTCATTGCAAACGATCTTAAGCCATGTACTTCAGGGTCTCTAACCATCGGTTGCTATCATCTTGCGGATCCCAACCAGGTGATCTGCACCTATCAACATGGCTCACTCCACTTGTCAGTGACTTCATGGACTTGTCCCACGTATTCACTCACTATACCTCGAAAAACCTAACCACACTCTTGAAGATATTTATTTGAAAATTAAAGTTCAATTGTTACTTGTATTACTTTGACTTCCTTTAATTTTCGTACAAAAAGACCTTAACGGATATGTGATCAGATTGTTCGTAATGTCATGAGTATTACATTTCTCGGACCAACTCCTTACATCTGTGGAAGGGATCCATTGTTCTACAATTAAAGAACAACTTAATGTTCAAGTAACTGGTTGTCAAAACCCGAATATATATGGCAATGTTCAAGCTTCAAACGTAATCTCTATAGCCCAAGTTAGTTGGTCATTATTACTTTAGAACCTCGTACGAATATCCAGTGATTTCCGTTACAATCCCTGAAATCACTATATAAAGAGGACATGGACGAAATGATTATTTTAGCACTTATATACTGCCCTGGTACGGTCGAGAGTGGGGAGAGTCATCCCCCCCTCTCAAAATGCTCTCACATGTCCACGTGCATACAACCAGTCAGGAAAGTCTTACTCACTGCCTTCTCATCGCACTGGTGTTGGTTATGAAATTGACAGGACGAAAAGCGAATATCCGGTGCTTTACCCGGGTCGGTGGATACGAAGATCGACCTAGCAGAGTTGGAAAACCCTGACTCCAAACCAACGGTGTACATGGATCCTGAGGAAAAAATTAACGTGTGTACCTATTATTGATCACCGGCCACCATGGGACTGCATCTCCTGACGTTGCTCTATTGTCTTGTGGATTAGATCATAAGGTCAAAGACTCGGTATGTGGCCCCCTAAGAAAACAAGCTGCTCCGCTTTGGGCTCCTGGGCAGTACTCCACCCCTCACATAAATCGAGTTATGTGGCACGTATCTATTTGGTGCCTCATTGTACCAATGTTTACGTGTTTAAATAAGTAAAATACTGGGGGTTTGTTGAATATAAAATGTCACAGAATCGATCCTTGAATTGGTAAGAATAATATACTTGGTACTGATGAGATTCACTCTTAAAATATTAATACCAATGTGGTATTGACTTTTTAAAATTACGCAAAACACTGATCCACACTACAAACCAACCTACCAGTTCTCAGACAAATAGACAAATTGTTGGTGCCACGTTTCCCCAAAGCATACAGAACTATATCAGTATAATAACACTGGGTTTTTAGTCTATTCATTAAACATAGTAATTAAATAATTTGAACGATCACACACACTGATAGTAGCCTTTAAATAGATAAACAAGAGAATAAATGAATATTAACTAGGTAAAGATTTATGGTACAAAAGCTAAAATTCTGAGACAATTGAATCGTGCACAATCGGTAATACTCAACTCAGGTGATTTAAGTATCTTATACATTTACATAAAAAGAACACGATAAACAAATAGACTTTATTGTGCAGCAGGCAAGTTAAGGAGTGTATGTTGACCATCAGGGATATAAGTGATATTTCGATTTTTCGAAAGTTGATAAGCAATATCTTCAGCAGCTTCGATTCGCCTTAATTCAATAAGACCTTCACCTGAAGATCCAAAAGATTTGGAAAGTAATGTTGCCGCTTCTGAGTCTCCTTCGGCAGATATAATGGCAGCCAGTTTGTGTTGTTCAGCCTTTGTGAATCAAGAAAGAATAAAATATCTTGAGGAATGACAACATAACAAAACTACAATATAGAGGGATCACGAAGTAAAGAAGTGTAATTATCATATAAACGATATCTTTATTGACTATCGACAACATACTAATAGGTTGTATTGCGCTAAAACTTATACGTTGTTCCACATACTTAACTTAGAGACAGAGTACACGGTTAAATATCTGACTTTCAATCAATGCAACGGTTAGTTTGGGTTGATCACCCAACATGAAGTATAGTACATATTATATTATCAAGCAAGTAGCTTTCGTTTAGATTCATTTTAGGAGAGCTCACCAACTTGAATTGATGTATTGATGAGCAAAGTTTTACATCGTTCGTACGAGCATGATAATTTGAAAAGAATATCTATCTGAGGTAATTTGTCAGAGCGTATAAAGCGACTGCACAAATGTGACCGATAATTTTCACTGTTTTAAAATGACCGTCTGATAGGATTCGCTTTTAGTAGTAATTAATTAAATAATGAAAGTTTTTAAACTGCTCATCAACTCCTGGAGAACATTTTACCTTTTCTACTAAATATCGTGCACGTTCAGCTTCTTGTTGAGCAACTTGTTTGGCTTCTACTGCTTCTGAGAATTCTCGACCGAAAGAGATTTGTGTCTGTGAGAATAAATAACACACGAAGCATTATTAAACAATAATAATAATGACAAAAACACCTTACTTATATTTTATATTCTTAATCTAACGTTAGCTTATTAGTTTAACAATCCTTCTTTACTTACACAGATTTCGTAGATGTAATACCTCATATTGTTATCAAAACGCATACAGGCTCTTTAGCTAGGGTCTGCTTAATACTCGTAATAAGTGATATGGGGTGGAATCCGTTGAAGTGGCACAGCTTCAACTATTCTTTCCTAAAAACGTTAAATCCTTTGATCTTATTTGTTCCTTTTCAACGGTATTTTTCATGCCTAAGTTCTTGCTTCATTTAATATTATTTCCTCCACTTTGCTTTTAATCTCGTTAACTTCCTCTCTAGATTTGCTGATGTGAGATGTGGCAAATGGGAACCATAAATATTCGATGATGACTGATGGGCTTTGTAACAGCCCTGTTTTGGAAGTGTGGCAAAACTGTAACCAACTTCAGACGCGACACTGTCTAATCAGTATAACACCTAACGGTGAGCAAAGCGGTGCCTTGAAAATCACTTGAACCAGTGTTATTTGAAACAATAAGGACAATCTGAGTATATAATAAGAGAGTATAAAACCATAACGAGATGCTAGGTCGGAAAATGACAAATAGAAACAAAAGAAATTATTTACTAAATAAATACAGTGACATTTACCAGGGCAATATCGTCTAACAATATACCAAATGATGAAGCTCGTTGGGTAAGATCTTCATTCACTCTCTGACTGACCAATTCTCTCTGCGTTATAAGCTCACTTGCATCAAACTGAGCAACCACTGCTTTGAGCACCTCAGTGGTAATGGAAGGAAGAACACGTTCCTCGTAGTCAAAACCTAGGTTCTGATAAATCTTTGGTAGAGTAGATGGCTCAGGGCGAAACAATATGCGCAAGGTTATATTCACTGTTTGTAGATCTATGTGGATAGCAACAAAAACACAAATATGACCCATGGAAATGAATGACGCATAAATTGAAGATACTATAATTGCTGTTATTGAAGAAATCTGTGCGGCATGGTTATCAAGTGTATTTCCCCGCGCAAACGTAAAATGAAGAGTAATGCAACAGATCCAGTTGACGAAGTACTTTACTACAAACCATATGATGAAGTTTGGTGAGAATGACTGCTAGAGTTTTGGATGAAGTGAACTCTTAACGAATGTTTTGTGGCCGAGTGAAGTTAATTGACAATTAGTTTTTATTCATATGATTGAGTTTGTTACAAAAGTACAATTGCGACTATGCCTAATACCTTGATATCAGGTTCAACAATCTTCATAATCTATAAGAAACATTCCTTATGGTCTTACTGCAGGAATATAAATAAAAGCCGTGCAGTGAAAAATAACTAATTTCCCAGTATGTTTAATGAGCTTGTCCTATTTCTTGTACATTGTCTGAAATTTACAAACTGAGATACATAAATCAGGTCCAGACTAGCAACCTGCTCTTTCAAAGTTACACGGATAAAGTGTATTCTTTAACACTTAAATTCAGTGATAGTCTTTTTTCCTCAAACTACATATTCTCTTTAGTTTTCCACCACTATATTGACTTCTTTCTCATTTGGTTGGGTTGCCCTAGTTGTTTTGTAAAGTGTGGCAACTCGGCTAGGTGAACATGTGTGCTACAGTGGGTATGCCCGACCATTGTTGCTACCTTGACGTGGAGGCCGGGCCTGCCCATCGTAATGAACCAATCGAGCTATGCTGCCTGGAACAATCGTTCCTCAAGGTCCTACCATGCCGGAAAGGTCGGTTGAAGAGCGCTAAGACTAAAAGCCGCAAACCCAAGGTCAGGGGGTAAAGTCGTACTGCTAACTATTAGTCAGTCAGCTACAACGTAGGACCAACCAAATATATGCGTCGGTCCAAGTTGCCATACCTCATTAACACAACAAGATGAACACCGAATTCGTAGAAGTAGTTAATTCAATGGTGGTAATATATAAAAGAAAGATTTCTTACAAAGACATAGTACAGAAAGAAAGAATTAATTCGAAGAAAGATAAGAAACGATTTTAATCTTATAGTTTAAGGGAAGACAGAGAGCGTATACACCGAAGCCATTGTGATCGATTCTGAGCCATGTCACCCATAGTCTCCAACCATTGGTTACGATAGTCACGCGGACCCCAACCAAGTAGTCTGCATCTACCAACATGGCTCAGGCTAGAAGTTAGTGACTACAAGCACTGATACCACGTTTTGGTTTGGCCGCCCCTAACTTTCCTCCAACCATCTCCAGCACCGGTTAGCACTGCACGTCGTGGTAATCGGTGTTCGGGCATACGTAACACGTGGTCCAACCATCTCAGTCGATGAAGATTAACAACCTCATCAACTGATACCTGTTTGAACTCCGATCATACTCTGATACGGGCACGCATTTGCTCTCACCTCACTAGACGCAGAAAAGCCGCACCAAGAAGACCCATTAGAATTGAAGTGAGTGACAAGAAAACCGAAAGTAGATTCCAGGAAAAACTGAGGTCACGCTTAGGTAGTTCTGAAAACGAGGCTGACCCAGATGTTGCTTGGAAAGATATACAAACAGCTGTGGAAACAGCAGTGACATCTGTTAGTAATTTAAACCAAAAGGTTACAAAAAACCAATGGATTTCTTCTAAGTCTATTGCACTGATGGATTCTCGTAAACTCATCCCATCAGGCTCTGAACACGATGAAGAGCGACAACAAACCAGATCTAGGTTAAGCCCAAGGTTTAGGAACGATCGTGAGCAGTGATGGGCAACGAAAGCAGAAGAGATGGAAAAGGCAGCGGCTGTAGGTAACACAAGACAGCTCTTCAGACTAGTGAAAGAAACTGGAACTAAATAATCAAGTATGAGACTACCTTGGAAAAAGACGACACTATTATCTGCTCTCATTTAAGACGTTTAAAACGATAGGCTCAAGACTTTAGAGAACAGTTTAGCCGGCTCTCTACAATTACCCACCATTCCCAAACAGTCTGAATGGAACATTGAGGTAGGTCCCCCGACTCTATCTGAAGTTCCAAAGGCTATAGCTAATCTGAAACTGAGAAGAGCAGTTGGTCCAGATGGATTGGCTCCAGAGGTTTTCATGTAGTTTCAAAAAAACATGCTTTTCCATTACGACACTTAGTTATTTCATACTAGATACATTCTTAGTTACATCATAATGAGTAGAAGAGTTGTATTTCTGACGTTTCGTGGCTTAATGTGAATCATCTCTTCAGAGAAAATAAATAACCGAACTAAATTGACACAAGTTTAAATAGTACGAAGAAAAACTTTTGTCAACTTGATTGGCATTTCTTATGAAGTGACTTACATTAAGCCACAAAACGTCGGAAATACAATTTATCTATTCATTGGGATGTAACAAAATATACATTTATTGTTAGCTTCCTGCCTGATGCCCAATTTATTTGAAATCTTGGAACTGATACATATTTACATGCTTTGTACCTGTCAAGATATAAACCATGGTTAGGACAGTTACCTTCACCCCATAAGGAACCGCTTAGTGATACTAGGACACTTATCAGGAGAGCTGGTAGGAACAGATAATATGTACATCCACTGTTTACCTTCAAGGTTGATGCTCGCTGGTATAAGAGCAGATTTTTTAGAAACCTGGAAGCTAAAGCAATAAATGGCTTTAATACATTAAATTAGTGACCTCTTTCGTGAGCCAATATGTGAACTATTTGGTTGAGGTATGTTTGGAGATCATAAATAGCATTGCTTCCAATTAGTCAGTAGAACAGATGAAAAAGTTAAGTGACAAAGAGGTTTCCGAAACCATAACCGACCATTTCTGAAGCTAGTTATACGTCTGGAATCCAAAGTAATCTGTTTGTGCGACATTAGTTTGTATAATACTCACTAATCTTAAAATAACACCAGTGTATTGCTTTCTAGACACTAGTCTTCTGTATCTAATGGTGAATTTAGTCGACTAAACAAGTGAATTAAGATTACCATCACAAGCGAAAGCCCATTTATTGTTTAGATACACAAAAAGGACTAATGATGCATGACAAATGACACGACCGAAAAACAAACAAGGATCGAGGAAAAACGAGAACGGGGGGAAGTCTCTTAATAATATAAAATCTAAGAAATAACCGATTGAAGTTGTGAGAAAAGCTCTTCCTAACATAACATCACTTAAGTGCAAATTCATTCTCAACAAAACTTCTTTACTTCATATACACTTTGCCAATGATATTTCTCAACACTACTAACCTTTTGAACCAGTCATTACAGGCACGTTTCTTGGTCGCGACCGAATATCAAAAATAATAGGCTTCTGAACCCATGGAATAATAAAGTGTGTCCCTTCCCCTCTTACATCAGGCCTAACACCTTTAAATCGGTCGAATATTACGGCACGATGTCCACCATCAACTGAAAGATTGATGTGTTTTGAAAATTTTTATTACCATTGTAAAGAACAAGTGGGAGTATACTGCTTGCAGCTAACAAACCAACACCAGCTTTTGTCAAACTACTGAATAAAGACGACATAATATGGTGATAATAAGAAGTGGGTAGCCACCAAGTTCAACTTCAGCACCAACAACTTAAAGAAGAGAATGTGGTGTGCGAGTAACCATCTGTCTTGCAATGTTCAATATTTGACTAGTTTCAAGCGTTTGGGAGGCATTTTTCGTTTATTTAGTGGGTTATAAAAGCACATAAGATAGAATTTTTGAATTTCAGTTTGAAAAAGTATAGAAACATCGCATGAGGCCTCTGAAGGGAAACGGGAACTGCTACCGGATTATCTTCAGTTTCAGTTTGAAAATGACAGGAGGCTTGATGGCCTGTGCAGTGCTTGCAATGGCGGCCCCTCAGTTGAACCAACTTTCTTTTGAAAGAGTCGACGGATGGAGCCTCAACCACGTGCTGAGGTAGTGAATTCCACTCGTTGATGATTCGATGAGAAAGTCGATAGTCAACTGACAAGTAATTTGTTCTCGGCTTGTGAAATTTTTTCGGAGTGTCCTCGTAAATTCTCTGTTTTGGAAGACAAGAAAAGTTAGGGCATATTATGTGCAAATTTATCACTAAGCAATTTGTAGACTGTAATCAAGTCGCCTCTAGTTCTGCGATATGACAACAGGAAAAGGTTCTGCTTAGCCAGTCGAAATTCATGCGGAAGCTTCGCTATTCCGGGAATCAGCTTAGTTACCGTTCTCTGAACCTTTTTCAGAAGCTCACTGTCTTTTTTAAGCAGAGGCTAGCCGCTTGTATGCAGTACTCAAGTTTAGGACGTACGAACACTGTATACAAAGTCAAAAACGTTTTAGCGTCGACATGACTAAAAGCCCTACGTATTGACCATAAGGTTCTAAAACTTTAGGCGGCTATTGCACGGCAGTGTGCAGTAGTCTTTAGGTCTTGAATAACGATGACTCCTAAGTCATTATGTGTCTGGACGACAGGTAGCTCAGCGTTATTCATCGTGTATGTATCTGTACCTTGATGACCGATATGCATCACAATACACTTGGAAGTACTTGTCGGCAACTGCTAGGTTTGAGACCATTCAGATAATTTCTCCAGGTCATTTTGGAATTCTAAGCTATCACCCTTATTTCGAATCGTTCTCCATATCTTGACATCGTCAGCATATGGCAAGAACGATGATGATGTTAGACGAGGAAGGTCATTTACACACAAGAGGAATAACACTGGCTCAGCTGGACAATTTTGAGTTCACTCGTACTCCTTGTTGGCGCTCAACTAGGAAGTCATTTTATCCACATCAATAGACTGCGTCAAATCCTGACATTTCTTAATATATAAAAGCCAGTTGTGCGGAACTTTGTCAGACCAAAGACATCGAGTTCCCTAATAGTCACGCTGTCCAGTGTTTGTGTGGGGAGATCTGTATGGACTGACGAAAAGGGTGTTTCTATGGCATATAAATCGCTAAAGTAGTTTGAGAATACTTGAGCCTTATCAAAGTCGTCCTGCACTAATGATGCCGCAGTACTGTCTCCCCACAGTGCAGGAATATTTCCTCTTCTTTTCGTCCTTCTGTTTAGATAGGAATACAAGCGTTTAGCAAATTCTACGTATTCCTAAACAATTTTCTCTTCGTACAACTTTCTAGACATCCGGAGGGTCGAGGCACAGGTATTCTGAGCTTTTCGATACTGATATTTAGTTTCATCAGTCCCTAGTAACTTAAATCTATCCCACATTCTTCTCTTGTGGAGGAGGATGCGAACCTCCCTACTGAACCATGGTGGAGAGCTCCTCGGCCTCCTTGGTATAGTACAAGGGATTCAAATGATTGTAGAGGAAGCAGAATTAGCTTTCGCTTAACGGAATACTTTGTCTAGTTTCAATGGGTCAACAATGCTTCCCGTTAAAAACCTGGGTATATTTAATGATAAAAAGAGAAGTATTAGTAAATTGTAGTGAAATACCGTTCTAATTTCCTTAGAATATGTTCACCTTCCTCTTGAAGGACTCCTCAGAAGTCACCTAGATCGATTCAGCCAGTAGAGATTTCCAGACTTCGATCACTTGTGAAGAGTAGAATGTGTGCTTATTCTCTATTCACTTAAATCATGTCCTCAATTTCTGTGCGTTACTGCTTGAACCTGTGTCGAGAGTGAGCTTAAGTAAGTATTTAAAAGGATGTCTAAAAGTGTCTAGGAAGCTAAAAATAATTAGGTCATCTCTTGGAAATTTACACTCCAATGGGTAAAGATCTTTTATAGCCCTCTGATCTGACTCCGATATGGATGAACGTATAAATACTGTAAACGTAAATCTTTTTAACTTCATAAGTTACATACACACTCTTTATTGACTTAAAAAGAGCAAGAACTAAGATTGGGGGATTACGCCTTAGTTAACCCCATTTGTGTGACTGTGGTAATATGAAGCCAAATACATGCTGCGTCAGAGGTATTGGTTTATCCAGACAGATATTCAGAATAAGAGGCGGAGAGAAGGCAAGTGAGTCAACTTGTTTTGATATAGTCTCACTCAATATTTATAGTCCGATAATTATGAGCTACGGACATGTGATGTATGGGGTAAACAATGCACACACATACGCTCATATAAAGATAGTCAAGATTAATAACAGAATAATTAAAGATTTTAAAATGTTACTCGAAAATGACAAATAAATCGACCTCTCTGGAAGCTACAGTAACCCATGTGAAATTGGCGTGGTAATAGACACTGGAGACCTAGGAATTTGAGTTTCTCTTCAGAAAGTTTTAACTTAAGCTTGCAGTGCTATTGGTTCTCAGCCACACTATCCTTCAAGCCAAACATACGATAACTGATAAGATTCGCATTCACAAATGATTGATCGCTGGGTGGTGATCAATGTCATGTGTGTCAGGTCCTTCTTGGCCACATTCAACATTTAACATAGAAAAACGGTTGGAGATAATGTGTGCAGAACAACTCATCTGTAAGGTATCGCTCGGTCTTGCAGGCTTGGTCACTTGCCTATCCGCAACCCAAATGTGTTCTTTAAAAGCACCAAACACCACATTGCCGACTGTCACAATAGGACAAATTCATATCGACGATAATGCGGCTTCCACTTAAGATCAACTAGATCAGGTAGGCCTAACATGACAAACCCACAATTTTGTGATAGGTCTATTATTCTACTACATATATAAGTGTACTATTACTTGAGAAGTGTAGAAAACAGGTATTTTAACACCTCTACTCACTGTTACACTCTGGATTCGGGGGAAATACTTATAGCATAGATTTGTCGGGCCCCATATGGAATTAAATATCAGGTGGGCAAGAATGTGAATTCATTGCCTACTCAGGAAAGTCGAACGGCACACATCCAGTACAATTGGGAGGTTTCCAACACCAGACAGATGGAATAAAAACGTGCACTTGGATATCACGGGTCTCGTCCCAACATCTAATTCTTCTACTCATATATTTACCTCAACGGACAGATTTACTAGACCGGTTATAGACTGCTCCATATACAACACTTTAGCCTATGTGTATTTTGCAACAGTCTTAAACACCATATGCCTGAAAGTCAGGATGGAACGACCTAGTGTAGGCAATAGTGTAACTCCCACGTAGTGTTTGATATAACAGGTACCCAAATCAAGACAAACCTAACAACCATACTTGTACAAGGTTCTTCGTGTGAGCAGTCTGAATCTCATCTCTGTTTTTACTTGTCCTTGTCATTCCACGAGATGAAAAGTTGGTTTCCGTTCGTTTTTGTGTTTATTCCTTTGTGGTGTTTATATGAATTAATGATTCCTTTGTACTTCCTGCCTGTTTGAATTTCGATTCCGAATATAATACGCTCACCTGATTTTTCTTGGTCTAAAGTTCGTTGTTTCTGGGATTCCTAGTTCGTATAATATTTCAAATACTTCTAATTAACACAATTTTGCATCACGCGGCCTGCCAGAGTGCAATCGATTCCATTGCGCACCTGGAATCTGTCTAGAACAAATGTTTTCAGAGTAATGGACGCTATTTGAGAGGACGAGAAAGTAAACTTCACCAGTCAAGGGAATGAATCCCAAAAGTTCTTTATTATTCATACAACTTATTAAGTCAATGTGTTAATAGGTTTCAAGGACTGACTTACAAGCTTGCTTTCCAGAAAATAACAGTCTACACAATCAGGGTTTAAGCTGATGATCACAGGCTTTCTGGTGTACCCCACAGGTGTTGATTATTGGAAGAAAGCTCACAGACGCATTCCAACTAAGGACCGGGATCATGCACGGCTAGTTGCTCTCTCTCTCGCCTTTCTTTTAATTCTGGTGGTTGACTGAATTTGAAAACCTCCACATCTGAGAGGAAGCATGGGATAAGATGGACAGTCTGCAAAAAAATGGACGATTTGAGCTGTGCAGATGACCAAAGCCTTCCATCTCATACATACGAACAAATGAAGGTCAAGAAAACCAGTGTGGCGGAAGCCTCTGCATCAGTGTACATCAACGTGCACAAGGTAAAAACCAAGATCCTCAAATACACCTCAAAGAGCACCAAACCAGTCACGTTTGATAAAGGAGCTTTAAAAACAGGTGGAAACTTTCACGCACCTGGTCAGCATCATTGACGAACGAGGAGGATCTGAATCAAATGCGGACGCGATGATTCGCAAAGTGAGGGCAGCATCTCTACAGTCGAACAACATATGGAACTCAAAACAACTGTTAATCAATCAAAGTCAGAGTTTTCTATACGAATGTCAAGACAGTCCTATTGTACAGAGCTGAAACTTGGAGAACTACCACAACCATCATCAAAAATGTATAGTTATTTATCAATATTTGTCTACACAAGATACTCAGTGTCCGTTGACCGGATACCATCAACAACAGCGCAATGTGGGAGAGAACAAACCACCGTTAGCTAACAGCTGTCATGCTGTTTTACCATTCATGTTTGAGGTTTGTGACATGTCATATGAGTAGATCAGACCTCACCCAAAGGTGTGAGTAGCAAACATAATAGCCATACAGGAATGTACTACAGCAGAGTAGTGGTCAATTAATGCCAACTCATCAAATGAAGAAGCATGGTCCATATTTAAAGGTACACTTATCCTAGTTATGTCTTCTTTTATACCCTGCTAAGAATCAC